TCACTTTTCTCCCATCTCTGCTCTGCTGGCTTGTTTAATCTCTTTTATATCTTAAAAGAGATTGACTCAAAATACACCTTACACTAATCCTGCCTCATTAAAATAACAAAGACAACCCATTCCCAAATGGGATTATAACCACAAGCATAGAGGTTAGGATTTAAAACACATATCTTGGGGGGGACATAATTCAAATCATAACACCTGTGTCAGAGTAGAACTGTGTTCCATAGAGCTTTTGGTGACTGATTTTTCAGAAGTAGATTGCCAGGTATTTCTTCTGAGGTGCCTCTGGGTGGACTTGAACCTCCAACCTTTCAGTTAACAGTCAAGTGTGCTAACTATTTGCACCACCCAGGGACTCCTCTGATGCCCTAAAAGCAAATCAAACCCGTTGTCGTTGAGTTGATTCCGACTCACAGCAACCCTATAGGACAGAGTAGAACTGCCCTATAGGGTTTCCAAAGAGTGGCTGGTGGATTTGAGCAGCTGACATTTTGGTTGGCAGCCACGCTCTTAACCACTGCGCCACCAGGGCTCCTCTAATGCCGTAGTCCTCATTTCAGCACCCTCTTCACCCACAGCTCCAGAGGTACCCTGGACTGGGATTTTCTGTGCCTGCTGAAAACCTTGCAGTGTATATATCAAGTTGGCTCTCGGTTTTCTCCACTGCCATTTTGATATGTCTCTTTCCTTTGGGCTGCTAAGGCAGGGACCACATGGCTATCTCCCTTCCTGCTTCCACAATTCCGTCACTGTGGTCCCCTTTCTGTACTCCCCATCCTTGTGGGCTTATATCTTGATTTTAAAAACTCTTTACTGACATTTTAGTGGAGTTTTGGGAAGGAGCGAAATTAGAAGTATGTATTCACTCACCATCTAAACCCAGAATCCTAACTTCCCTTTTTAATGTATTTTTGCATACAATTCCTAGGAGAAGCCCCACTTGGTCATGGAAGATTGCTATTTTAATGCACTGGGGGTTGTTTATTTCTGTCTTTCCATTTAGAAGTCTTCAGTGAACATGATTAGCAGGAAATGAACCTTTCTACGAGGAGGATTCAAGGAAAATGTCTCCAGCAGAATAAGTATATTAGAGAAAAACCAGAGACTAAATCACGGTATGTGACCTCCAGGCAGCCCCTAAAGAGACACTATAGTGATTCCTGAGGATGCAGAGAGGGGTGTCCTTTGCAGTGTTTTGCTTAGGCACCCAGAATAAGTCCCAGGCTGCCCTGTTGACATACCAATTGGTGGCCTGATTTCATCTTACATCAATTGGGGGCTCTGTTATAAAAGAGGGAGTCCTGCATGCCTTTCTGAAATGCAACCCATTGCCCAAATAGGCCCCCAAATCATTCACTCATTTGTTATTTATCAAATATTCATTGAGCAGCTACCATGGGCTAAGTGCTCTGCTAACCACTCCCCCACCAAAAAAAAAAAAAAAAAAAAAAACAAGAAAACACAAAACTCATTGCCATGGAGTAGATTCTGACTCATGGTGACCCCGTGTGTCTCAGAGTAGAACTGCACTCCCTACTTCTGACTCAGGGCGACCCCATGTGTGTGAGAGTAGCACTGCACTCCATAGAGTCTTCAATGGCTGTAATCTTTCAGAAGTGGATTCCAACTGCCAACCTTTCAGTTAGTAAGCCAATAATAAGCTCATAGCAAACCGTTTGTGCCACCCAGGAAAGTGCTATGCCAGCTCTCAATAACTGCTTTTATTCCCAGACAGAACCTGCCCGAGGTAACTCTTTAATCGACTCCTCCACCCAAGACGACAGAAAGGGAGGTGTATAGAAGGAAAGGGGGTTTTCAGGGCCACATCCATGGCTGTAATGTGGTCTCAATAATTCCTCTCTCTGCAGCCTGTGATGAGGAATAAGTGAGAGACTCTTACAAAGAAGCTAGCACGGTGCTTGCACACAGTAGGACATCTGGTTTTTGAGGGCCTCAGGTGTTTTATGTTCTCCTGATACTTTTAAATACTGGCATCTTGGGTGGAACATTTGAAGGGACTTAGAGACTCAAAACAACATAAATGAGCCAAAAACAAAACAAACTGTAGGGTTTCCAAGGAGCAGCTGGTGGATTTGAACTGCTGACCTTTTGGTTAGCATATGAGCTCTTAACCACCATGCCATTGGGGCTCCATAAATGAGCCAGTACTACTTAAATCAGTCCCTACTACAGCATAACAGGGTCCATGAAATACCCAGTAACTGCCTGTTCTCTTGGTTGTGTTCAACTCGAGTCAGCCTTTGCCGGGGCGCTCATGTTCCCGTGAGGCTGCACACTCTTCTCTGAGTTTGCTGTTCTCCTCATCCCTCCTGTTTTGGAAACAAGTTGTAATCTTCTTCTCACCGGCAGTTTAGCTCACCATTCATTCAGGCAGACATTTCAGAACCTCTAAGTATTTTTGAGAGATCAGTTGGAACGTAAAGAAATGTTACACTCGGATTGACATTCGGCAGTTCACCTGTGAAGCAGTTGGAGGTGTCCTTGTGTAGCAGTACAACTGTTGAAAATCGCCAGGTGGTGGAAAGGGCAGGCAGAAACTGGGTTCAAATCGCTGCCAAACTGTCGTCTTGGCCAAATGTGTTAATTTCCTGAGTCTTCATTTTTCTGCCTATAAAATTCAGGTAATACCAGACATGTGCAGGCTTGTGGGGAGGACTAATGAAATAAGTGCCCATTACGCTTCTTCTGAGAGTAACAAAAACAAAACGGTTGCTAACCAGTCGATTCTGACTCATGGCGACCCCATGTGTTCAGAGAGTAGAACTGCTCCATAGGGTCTTTTTGGCTGTAATCTTTACAGATCGCCAGGTCATTCTTCAGCGGTGGCGCTGGGTGGATTCGGAACGGCCAACCTTTAGGTTAGTAGACGAGCGCAAACCGCTTGCGCCATCCAGGGACCTCTACTTGAGGTTGTTGTGGGTTTACGAATGTCGTGGCTCTAATCGCTCAGGTGCCATCCTGGGGCAAGCTAGGGGATGGGGTGGGGAGTGCTGTGTGTGTGTGTGTGTGTGTGTGTGTGTGAGCTCCCGTGTGTGTGTGTGTGTGTGTGTGCG